GCCTTCTGATGCTTTGGAGAATATCTTGACTCCCTCTTCTTTGTGGCAGCCCCTTAAATTTTATTTATTTATTTATTTATTTATTTATTTATTTATTTATTTATTTATAATGCAATTTATATGCCGCCCTATCTCCAAGGACTCCGGGTGGCTCACAATGGTAAAATGCACAGTTCCTCATAAACGACAATATAAAATTAAAATTCCAATTTAAAACAATTTAAAATTCATTAAGAAACCCCCCATCAGTCCAGGCTGCAGAACAACCAGGTCTTCAAATCGCGGCGGAACGAGCGAAGGTCAGGGGCCATCCGGAGCTCTAAAGGAAGTTGGTTCCAGAGGGTGGGTGCGCCCTCTGGAAAGCTCTCCCCCTGGGGGACGCCAGCCGACACTGTCTGGCCGACGGCACCCTGAGGAGGCCCTGTCTGTGGGAACGCACCGGGCGATTGGGAATTGTCGCTGGCTGCAGGGGGTCCAACAAATATCCCGGGCCTAGGCCATGAAGGGCTTTATAGGTAATAACCAGCACCTTGAACCTCACTCGAAGGGCAACCGGTAACCAATGCAAGTCGCGCAGGAGGGGTGTAACATGGGAGTGTCAGGACTCATTGTTCCAACATTGGAACAATGCTATCAAATGGCTCTTAGTCCTTCTTTTGATTAAACTAGACATATCCAATTCCAACAACCATTCTTTATACGCTTTAGTTTCCAGTCCACTAATCATCTTTCTTGCACTTCTCTGCATTCTTTCTAGAGTCTCAACATCTTTTTTACATTGTGGTGACCAAAACTGGATACAATATTTCAAGTATGGTCTTACCAGGGCATTTTAATCCAAGTCAGCCTGATTGTGTAGCTGAGAAAGGCCAGGATATTGTATTGTATTGTATTGTATTGTTTATATTTATATACCGCCCTTCTCCCGAAGGACTCGGGGCGGTGAACAGCCAACAGATAAAACACAAGAAATACAAAATTTAAAAACAGTATTAAAATCCAATTAAATTAATTTGGCCCACAATTAAAAACACCCCTGTATTAAGACCCATAATCAAACAATTTAAAAATTAAAACAATTTAAAAGAGTTAGGCCAGCCCGGCTTGCTGGAATAAAAACGTCTTTAGGGAACGGCGAAAGGTGAGAAGATCTGGGATCCGCCGTATCTCCGGGGGCAGCTCATTCCAGAGGGTAGGTGCCCCCACAGAGAAGGCTCTCCCCCTGGGGGCTGCCAGTCAACATTGTTTGACCGATGGCACCCTGAGGAGCCCCTCTCTGTGGGAGCGTACTGGTCGGTGGGAGGCTATCGGTGGCAGAAGGTGGTCTCATAAATACCCGGGTCCTAAGCCATGGAGCGCTCTAAAGGTGGTAACCAATACCTTGAAGCGCACCTGGAAGACCACCGGGAGCCAGTGCAGCTCACGCAGGAGAGGTGTTACATGGGAGCGCCAAGTCGCCCCCATAACCACCCGCGCGGCCACATTCTGGACCAGTTGGAGCCTCCGGGTGCTCCTCAAGGGGAGCCCCATGTAGAGAGCATTACACTACTGATGATATTTTTGTATTCTTATGTACAGTATATATATAAAAAAAGCATTCTGCATACAGCATTTAAGATTTATTCCCCCCCCTCTTCATTCTCTGAAGGTTTTAATTAACATCTTAAATACACTGCAATGGAGCACTTAAGCAAAAGGCAACTCTGTTTATGTTGTCAGTTGATATAACTGGATAGCAATCCAGCTCTATTCAAATATAGTGGGGATTTTTATCCTTACTTCTGTATGCTTAATCTAGAGCATCGCAATATTTCTGCCCTCCATTGCTGTCCGTGACACCCAAGTTGTCAAACCTGAGCAAAAACACACAACATAAGAAAATAGGAAACGATAATGATAATGTTGGGAGTACAGGTAGTTCTTTGACTTATGACTGCAATTGAGCCCATCATTTCTGTTGCTAAGTGAGACATTTCTCAAATGAGTTTTGCCCCATTTTACAACTTTTCCTGCCACAGTTGTTAGATGAATCACTGCAGTTGTTAAGTTAGTAACATGGTTGTTGAGGGAATCCGGCTTCCCTATTGACTTTGCTGGCCAGGAGGTCGCAAAAGGGGATCACATGACCCCAGGAACACTTCAACCATCATACGTACGAGTCAGTTACCAAGCGTCTGAATTTTGGTCACATGACCATGGGATGCAGCAATGGCTGTCAGTGTGAAAAATGGGCATACTTTTAATCACTCTTTTCAGCGCCATTGTAACTTTATTCAGTCACTAAATGAATTGTTGTTAGTCGAAGATTGCTGTAGGAACAGCAATATTTATTCTGACTTTCTCCTAGAGGGCACTCCAGCAGCTAACAATTAGAATAGAATAGAATAACAGAGTTGGAAGGGACCTTGGAGGTCTTCTAGTCCAACCCCCTGTCCAGGCAGGAAACCCTACACCACTTCTGACAAATGGTTATCCAACATCTTCTTAAAAATTTCCAGTGTTGGAGCATTCACAACTTCTGCAGGCAAGTTGTTCCACTTATTAATTATTCTCACTGTCAGGAAATTCCTCCTTAGTTCTAAATTGCTTCTCTTCTTGATTAGTTTCCACCTATTGCTTCTTGTTCTATCCTCAGGTGCTTTGAAGAATAGTTTGACTCCCTCTTCTTTGTGGCAGCCCCTGAGATATTGGAACACGGCTATCATGTCTCCCCTAGTCCTTCTCTTCATCAAACTAGACATACCCAGTTCCTGCAACCGTTCTTCATATGTTTTAGCCTCCAGTCCCCTAATCATCTTTGTTGCTCTTCTCTGCATGCTTTCTAGAGTCTCAACACCTTTTTTACATCGTGGCAACCAAAACTGAATGCAGTATTCCAAATGTGGTCTTACCAAGGCCTTATAAAGTGGTATTAACACTTCACGTGATCTTGATTCTATCCCTCTGTTTATGCAGCCCAGAACTGTGTTGGCTTTTTTGACAGCTGCTGCACACTGCTGGCTCATATTTAAATGGTTGTCCACTAGGACTTCACAAGTTTAATTCCTGTTGAATTTACAAGTTTAATTCCTGCTTAGCCTTCTTTCAAGTACATATAGGCGGTTCACATGTTCTTTTGCTTGCTTAGAATGTTTGGAGATCGCAGTAACATTTTCAGGTCATTATAAAGCAAAGCATGAATGATGGGAAGAGATGAGTCTGCAGAGATGGTATTCAGCCGGTTCGGACCAGTTCACCTGAACCGATAGTGGAAATCGCAGGTAGCAGAAATCGCGGGTGGGCCAACCCATCCGCCTGCCCGCCTGCCCGCCCACCCCAGCTCTATGCCATCCTATTTAGGCATGTTTTTGAGGCCGGGTGCATTTGTGGAAGGCACACACGCCAGCAAAGAACATGCACAAAAGTCCGGGCACATGTGTGGACGGGGTCATACAAGCGCATATTTGCGAACCAGTAGCGAAAGTAAGCGAATACCACCCCTGGTCTGCAGGTGCTGTCCTTCAACTGTGGGTGTTGATTTGATAGCTTGAAGGAAGCCGAGGAAGGCAGCCAAATTCGAGGAATTCAGAACACTGAAATTCTAACATGGTTTGCAGGTATCCAATTGTGGAAACCTTTTTTTCCCCCCATGTTTTCAAGTTGTCATGAATAATTGCAGATGAGGAGTAATAATGTTAGTCAAGTCCAGCAGCCTTCCCAAGTTTGAATAAAATTCTTGGTTTTCCTACCAACTTCCCTTCAACTTGGAGAACAGGTGACTGGACCAAGGTAGTATGAAGAATTGGGTAGTGTGGTTAAACAAGTTAATTCAGCTTCAAAATGTCAGGGAAAAGAAGCCCATTGACTTAAAACTTTATGTATAAAAGGATGAATCTATCACAATCCTCTGATTGCTCTTTTAACTCACTGTATTTGGTATGCATCAGATTTTTTTTTTAAAAAAAATCAAATCAGAATAGTGCTGAAAGGGACCTTAGAGATCTGCTAGTCCAACCCCCTGCTCAAGCAGAAGACCCTGCGCCATTTCAAACAAGTGGCTGCCCAGTTTCTTCTTAAAAACCTCCAGTGATGGAGCATCCACAACTTCTGGAGGCAACTTCTGTTCCACTGGTTAATTGTTTCTCACTGTTAGGAAGTTTCTCCTCAATTCCAGGTTGCTTTTCTCCTTGATTAATTTCCATCCATTGTTTCTTGTCTTGCCTTCAGGTGTTTTGGAAAATAAGTTGACCTCCTCTTTCTTTCTTTCTTTCTTTCTTTCTTTCTTTCTTTCTTTCTTTCTTTCTTTCTTTCTTTCTTTCTTTCTTTCTTTCTTTCTTCCTTCCTTCCTTCCTTCCTTCCTTCCTTCCTTCCTTCCCTATTAATTAATTAATTAATTAATTAATTATATCCTGCCTTAATTATTTTTACAAATAACTCAAGGCATCAACATATCCAAAACACTTTCCTCCTCCTAATTTCCCCACAACAACAACCCTTTGAGAGAGAGAGAGAGAGAGAGAGGGACAGAGTGACTGGACCAAAGTCTCCCAGCTAGCTTTTATGCCTAAAATGGAACTAGAACTCACAATCTCCCAGCTTTCCAGCCTGTCATCTATACCGCTAGGCCAAACTACAGTAGTTATAATGATTTAGGAAACCAATCAACTGCCTTCATAAAGTAATTAGGGAGCAATGTGAGGACGGAAGGATTAACGCTCTGGAAATACGCTGGACAGGTTGGTAGCAAAGAAAGAAGGACAGTCAGAACATGGTTTCTGATCGGTAGACAATTTTTGAAGCTTTCTGGAACATCTTTCATTGTTATCCTATGAAAGCAAGCTTGGCTGATGAGTGTTACGAGGTCTTCCCATCCCCTTTGACTCCTACTCTCCCCCTAAACTCTTAGCAACTCCACCCCTGCGTTCCGATGCACTGAAGTCAGCCTCCGAAATGAGTTTGCCCAGATTAGAGAGGTGCTATTCACCCCCTTTTCCACTTCAGAGAGCTGAGCTTTGGACATGCTGAAAAAGCACCATTTAGAATTAATTAAAGCGGAGCGGTTTTCATTGGTTTTGCCACTGCTGACCATTGCGTATTTTTTTAATGAGGTGAGCTGAGAGCAGAGGGTCCTTTGTTGACATTTTTAACACGGGAGCAATGCATATTATGTCATATTAATGAAACAGGAAACTTAAGGGGAATTTGTTAGGGGGTAAAATGGAGAATTCAGATGAATATAAATCATGCTTCAGTGATGCCTTTGGTATCTTTTAAAAGAAGTACCAGAATACTCTAGTCTTGGCTAACTTACATCAAATGATAACATCTATTCATATATTTTAACATGCAGATTTTTTAAAAAATAGTAGTAATTGTGAGATTTTTGCTCAACCTGTCACTTGACATATGGCTTAAAACTGTCCCGTGTAAGAGCTTTAAAACAGTTTGATGGAGTTTTAATTAAAAACCTATCCGTATGTAATTTATGAATAATTCTCTCCTGACATTTATAGGTAGAGCAAGTATGAAGCAATGATTTAACCAAATATTTGGGAAGTTGATTACACAATACGAGGGGAAAAAAACCGGTTTCAAAATATCAGGTGAGCAACAGAAAGCACTGAAACTCTCAGTTTTATTCATTTTCTTATTTTCCCATTGTAAAGTTGTTTCCTTGTGTTCCTGTGCTATTTTTTTTGTAAAAAATTTAAAAAAATTCTATCTATGCTTATGTACATTTCCTTCATGCATGACAATTTTGTTTGTATTTTTGCTAATTTATATAGCTTTTTTGGGGGAAATCGTTTTATATCATGCATATGATATATTATTTTCTTAAATCTATACATTTTCCTATTTTTATTTTTGATTGGCAACCTGCATGGCAAAATTGAGACCACTGTTTTGGTGCGTGCGCTGTTTCAAAATTTTCATTAAGTTGGCATTCAGATTAAAACTAAATAAATTTCTCCTTGAACTCTTGTGAGTGAGGTGATTTTAAAATGGCCACCGTCCACTCCAAAGCTCTTAGCCAGAGCTAATGGAAAGAACTGTTATTCCATTGCTTTTATTGCTTCTTCTAATGTTTTAATAAACGTTAGAAAGAACACCCCCGCCCACACTGCAATTGAAACTCTGGTAGAGAAAAGAAATTACAGCTAGTTTTCAATTTACGACCGAAATTGAGCCCAAAATTTCCACTGTTAAGCAAGAAAGTTAAGTGAGTTTTTTTGACTTTCCTTGCCACAGCTGTTAATTGAATCCTTGCAGTTGTTAAGTTAGCAACACGGTTGTTAAGTGAATCTGGTTCAGGGGTGGGTTCTAAATTTTTTTACTACCGGTTCTGTGGGCATGGCTTATTTTGTGGACGTGGTTTGATGGTCATGTGACAATTCTTTAGGATTTAGCAGAGGTCTACCAGGCTTTTAACTGCTTGCAGAGCTGTACCGGTCTACCCATCTATTCTTGGAGCGTTCCGGTCTACCCATTTGTTTTTGGAGTGCACCGGTCTACCACCACGCTGCCTTTTAACACTGATCAGCTGTGGGGTGGCCCTTTGAAGCCCCGTGGCAAGAGTTTAAACAGTTTTTTTCCTTCTAGCCGATCAGCTGGGACTTGGGAGGCAGCGAATAGATTGGGGGCGGGGCCAAATAAAAGGTAAGAATAATGTGGGGGGTGGGAGGGGGTGGGAGGGGGTGGGAGGGGGAGGGCCCTCCCATCCCCCGAACAAAGAGAACCGGTTCGGTGACGTCATATTGTCACTTACCGGCTTGGCTGAACCGGGCTGAACCAGGAGGAACCCACCACTGATTTGGCTTCCTCATTGACTTTGCTTGTCAGAAGGTCGCAAAAGGGGATCACGTGACCCCCCCCCCCAGGACAATCCAACCGTCATAAATAGGAGTCATTTGCCAAGCATCTGAATTTTGTTCATGTATCCATGGGGAAGAATCAACCTATTTTCCAAAGCACCGAAGCATTGATTGATTGGACCCTGAGGTTGTCATAAATGTCATAAGTCACTTTTTCCAGTGCCGTTGGAACTTTGAACAGTCACTAAATGAATGGTTGTAAATCAAGGATTACCTGTATGCAATTATTAAAGTGGAAAACTTTATCAGGTGGCACAGCTTTACAGTGAAATAGGCAGTAGTGAAGGCATCGGATTAAGCTAGGAGACTACCAGTTTTGTCCTGCCTTAAACACAAATTTGGGTGGGTAACCTTGGACCAGTCACTCTTTCTCAGCCCTAGGAAAGAAGCAAGGTCTCTCTCTCTCTCTTTCTTTCTCTGATACATAAATAAATAATAAAGATTTTATCACAAATGATGATGGTTCTTGAGGACTACAATGTTGCAATGCGATAAAAGGTTTTTTTTAAAAAAAAAAACCAGAGGAAATATTGCTTACTCCAACTTCATATTTAGAATAAAATGGAATAACAGAGTTGGAAGGGACCTTGGAGGTCTTCTAGTCCAACCCACTGCTTAGGAAGTGGAAAACCCTACATCACTTCAGACAAATAGTTATCCAACCTCTTCTTAAAAGCTTCCAGTGTTGGAGCATTCACAAATCCTGCAGACAAGTTGTTCCACTGATTAATTGTTCTCACTGTCAGGAAATTCCCCCTTAGTTCTAGGTTGCTTCTCTCCTTGATTAGTTTCCACCCATTGCTTCTTGTCCTGCCCCCAGGTGCTTTGGAGAATAGCTTGACTCCCTCTTCTTTGTGGCAGCCCCTCAAACACTGGAAGACTGTTATCTCATCCCTAGTCCTTCTTTCCATCAAGCTAGACATACCCAGTTCCTGCAACCATTCTTCATATCTTTTTAGAGGTTATATTTTTTCCTATGGATGGTTGGTAAGTCACATCCCTTAGAGTCTGGCATTACAGTTTTTCAGGATCATGAAATGTAGCTAAAAGTCAATAGGCTTGACCATCTAATGACATTCTAAATATGCTGGAAAATTTAAATCCCCACAATAGTTATTGAGATTTATTCAGACAAACAAAGGTAACAAAAGTCTTTTGTGCGTTTGTCACTCATTTCCAGTGCTCTGTTGTTGCAGTGTCAAATAATGCCAGTGATTTCAGGACAATTACTGTAATTTTAAACTCTCAACAAATTAAATGATAAAGACTAAATCGTCCAAAGAGGACACTGTCCCATTTCCCCCTCCCTACTTTACAAGTAAATTTTAATTGGTGGAGGATGAATTTCAAATCCTGACTGATTAGAAAATTGACCCGTTTCACCACTAACAAATTTGATTTCTTACAAATAAAAGCTGCTCCTTGTAAGTATATTTTTTTTAATTAGGTTTTCTGCCACCTCAGATTGCAATGAAGATGTAAAGACATAAGGATTGCTTTTCCTGCTTGCTTGTTTGTTTGTTTTATATTGACTGCAGATGGCTTAAGCAACAAACTTAATTCCTAACGCTAAATTAATGATAAGGGAAAAATTATCCCAATCTGGTACCTTTCACCAATCTTAGTACAAGGAATGAAAATAAACATGGGTAGAGAGATGGCCCCAGGACAAAGAGGCATCCGTGTCAATAAAACAAATTCTGGTTATTCAGATCCCTTTATTCTGATGATCATCAACTTAGCAGCAAGTAAATTACACCACACTGTAACTTCTCAAAGCTCAGTTAGTGTGGCCCTTCTTCAGTGGTGGGTTCCACTTACCTTTGCTACCGGTTCGCAACTGTGACCACCTGCGTGCGCATGTGTGCTTTGTGTGCGCCCAGCGCTTCTGCGCATGCACAGACCGTCCATGATGACGTCTGTGGGTGGGTGGGCAGAGCCTCCCACTGCCGCCGCTACCAGTTTGTGGGAACTGGGGTGAACCGGTAGTGTTGTGGCCCGTCAGCAGCCTGTGCAGATTGTAGCTGATTCCAACAATGAGGAGGCTGGTGTGGTGCTGCGCCAGCAGCCTGTGCAGCTGGTGCTCGAGTCAGACAGTGAGGAGACTGGAGAAGATGTGGTGCCAGAGGCAGGGATTCAGCCAGGGCCTTCAGAACCTCCAGAAGCTCCTTTAAATGAAGAGGACGAAGAGGAGGAGCCTCTTCTCAATGCACGGGCGTGCAGAGCTGTCAAAAGGCAGGAGTGGCTCCTCAGGAGGAGGTCTCCTTGAGAGGAAGGCTTGGGGCTTATTGGCCACTCCCTTAGCCTATTTAAGGAGGAACACCACTTGCAGCAAGCTGTAGGGAACAACTTTAGTTCAATCTCCTTCGCGTCTGGATTCTCTGCAAAATTGTTTCTGGGCTTTCTGCCAACTCTAGTAAGACTGTGATTACCTTATTTTAGGATTCTGGTAGGCTGTTAAGACAGTTTATTAACAGCTTTTGGTTGATAAGACTAAGTTATTTAAGTAAAATAAGCTTTGTATTGAGTGCTGTGTTCTTTGGGGTCCGTAACTGGGGCAGAACAGGTAGAAACTCACCACTGCCCTTCTTCCTTGTTGAGTATAGCACTTAACACTTAGACTTATATACCACTCCACAGTGCTTCACAGCCCTCCCTGAGTGGTTTACAAATATCAGCATACTGCCCCCAACAATCTGGGTCTTCATTTTACCAACTTTGGAAGGATGGAAGGCTGAGTCAACCTTGGGTCGGTCAGGATCACACTCCTGACTGTGGGCAGAGTTAGCCTCGTTACTGCACTCTAACCAACCAAGAAACACAGACAATCATGTAAGAGGCAAGATAGAATGATGGCGTAGATAAATACCTAGAAGGATGTCTAGAAAGTTATATAAATGTAGTTGATATTTTCATAAAAAAGAAACCTTGGATATGTATAAATGTCTAAATAAGTAAACATTTAAAATAGATATGTATAGATAAAAATAGACGAAATAGAAAACAACCACCGATGCAACAGCTTTCAGAAGTCAGTCAGTGGACTGAGTTAGTGTTGGTCTGTTTTTTCTTTTGTATTGTCTTAATGTATCCATGTCTGTATGTATTTTTGTTTTGTGTTTTTGTTTAATTTATAAAACCTTAATAAAAAAAATAATAAAAAAGTTTGTTCAAGAGAAAAAAAAGGGAATGCTGGGAGATGTAGTTAAGAATTCCGTTTGGAGAAGCCTTAAGGTAGTTGGAGGTTAGCAAACTCATATTGTAATTTCTTCTGCACCGTAATGGAACCACCAGCAGCAATCTCAAAATGTAGAATAAAGCAGAGAATCTATTCCAAGGGATGATGAACTTTCAACTACAGGTAGTCCTCGACTTATGACCACAACTGAGCCCCAAATTTATGTTGCTAAGTAAGACATTTGTGAAGTGAGCTTTGCCCCCTTTTACGACCTTTCTTGCCAGAGTTGTTAAGTGAATTGCTGCAGTTGTTAAGTCAGTAACACATCTATTAAGCGAATTTGGCTTGCCCATTGACTTTGCTGATCAGAAGGTCACAAAAGATGATCACATGACCCCAGGACACTGCAACCGTCATAGATATGAGTCAGTTGCCAAGTGTCTGAATTTTGATTATGTGAGTATGGGGAAGAAGAGAGGGGCCAACTTATTTTCCAAAGCACCAGAAGGCAAAACAAGAAACAATGGGTGGAAACTAATTAAGGAGAGAAGCA